CAGGCATGCACCTCCACAACTGGCTAATTTTTGTATTTTTAGTAAAGATTGGGTTTCACCACGGTCAGGCTGGTCTTGAACTCCTGACCTCAAGTGATCCGCCTGCCTTGGCCTCCCAAAGCGTTGGGATTACAGGTGTGAGCCACTGTGCCCAGCCCTTTGTTTCTTTAAGTCATATATTGTTGTGGTTCCCACACCATATTCTTCAGTGAGACACCTCACAGACATACCACCATCAAGCACAGTTCTTATAAAACAAAAACTTCTATTTTATAAAACAGTTCTATTGCACAACTGATCTGCAATAACTCCACTTTCTGAGCTACTGATAAAGACAGATGCTTCCTTTTCTTTTCACTGTTACCCATAGGTATATCTTTAGCTCTTTTTGACATTTTCCATGGAATTAGTCCTCAGGTCAGAAAATGTCAGCAAATCAGAGAGGCATGTATGACTGACAGATACAAGTGCTGAGACAATAGAGGCTGCATATTTGTTTACAGTTGGGTTGTTTTTTTTTTTTTTTGGCCATATAATCCTGGTGCCAAACTTATAAAAACACTTTTGGGTGTCACAGTGTTTTTGTTTTTTTGTTCTGTTTTGGAATACAGAGTAGAGACTGTAGACCTGCATTAAAAATATCATTTTAATGATTAAAAGACTGAGGCTCAGTTAGTACCTTGCTCAAGGTTATACAGCTATTACTTGTCTTTTCTGCTTATAGTTAGTCTCCTAAAATCTGGTCACTTTACTAGACAGAAAAATGTTTGTTTTTCTGGTATTGTCTGTCAAGATGATTTGAGTTGGAATATTTTTAGCACAGGAACCTGATACTCTTGGCCATTTGATTGACACAATCAGTAGCTGAGCCTCAATGCTGAATAACATGGAGATGCTGTGGCAAGAGGTTAGAGTTCCTAAATTTATAGTTATTGAATATAGATTTTTCTTTTTATACCAAATGATCTGTTTGGTACTTACTGCCTGGTTACTTATTGCTTCACAGTGAGCAAATCAGGAAAAATGAAAGAGCTCACTGCAAATGTCCCAAACACTCCCACAAGTTTTCCGTAAATATCCACTCATTTAAAAGGCTTTTTTTGTCCTGGGTACGGTGGCTCACGCCTGTAATCCCAGCACTTTGGGAGGCTGAGGCAGGCGGATCACAAGGTCAAGAGTTTGAAAGCAGCCTGACCAACATGGTGAAACCCGTCTCTACTAAAAAAACAAAAATTAGCTGGGCGTGGTGGCACGTGCCTGTAATCCCAGCCACTCAGGAGGCTGAGGCAAGAGAATTGCATGAACCTGGGAGACGAAGGTTGCAGTGAGCTAAGATCATGCCATGCACTCCAGCCTGGGTGACAGAGACTCTGTCTCAAAAAAAAAAAAAGGCATTTTGCTTGAGTGTTTCTAAACTGTTCTGAAAATTGTACATCCCAACTGTGACTCAGAATTGTTAATCGAGTTCAGAATTAAAACCCATTTTAGACATTCTAATAAAATGTTTATTTTAATTTATAATTTAGAAAGAATTCATTAGAATTTGTAATGACTTTTAAGCTTCTATGGTTTGAGCCTTATTTCATGTACTCTTTTATAAGTTCCTATTGGAAGGCCAGCTTTTCTTCCTCATTCTTATCTTCCCCATATTTGTTTAGATCTTCCTCAAATGTCAAATATGAACTGCTACTAATGCCTGAAGATTATGAAAGCACTTCTAAGTCTCTCTCTCTTTTTCTATTGGGTTTAAGAGCAGTCCTTTGGTTGGACTGTTAGAAAAATGAGTAAAGCACAGTTCTATAAAACAAAAAATAAAACCCTAGACCCCCCAACTGACTGAATGGATCCCTGTCTTGGCCAAGGGCATTCCAAAGTAAACCTGAAAAACTAGTTCAGGCCATGATGGGAAGGGGTGGTGGGTGGGCATACCTCATTATTCCCCCGCCTTTTGGAATTCAGGCACAACTAATCAGCGTTAACGTTAAAACGGAGATCTTAAGACTGACAAAACAGACTCTTCATAGCAATAAGATACCAGAAAAATATACGTGACTCCAGTATAGAATCACGTGACAGCAGGTCCTGAAAGAAATTCAAGTATTTTAGCCCAAAATATATTTCTTTGACATATTTTGAAATGGCTCTGCAAAGCTGTCTCTTGTGGGGGAAAGGATTCTATAGAAAATCCTTTTTCTTTTGCAGATATTTTCCTGATCCAGGAGAGACTAACTAAAGGTCTCACATAATACCTTTTTAAGTCTGATAAGAGACATTTGCCCTTTATTCTCTCTGAAGCATGCTACTTGGAATCTTCATCTGTATAATAAGAACCTTGGTCTCCACAACCCCTTATTTTTTTTTTTTTTTTTTTTTTTGAGTTGGAGTTTCGCTCTTGTTACCCAGGCTGGAGTGCAATGGCGCGATCTCGGCTCACCGCAACCTCCGCCTCCTGGGTTCAGGCAATTCTCCTGCCTCAGCCTCCTGAGTAGCTGGGATTACAGGCACGCGCCACCATGCCCAGCTAATGTTTTGTATTTTTAGTAGAGACGGGGTTTCACCATTTTGACCAGGATGGTCTCAATCTCTTGACCTCGTGATCCACCCGCCTCGGCCTCCCAAAGTGCTGGGATTACAGGCGTGAGCCACCGCGCCCGGCCCACAACCCCTTATTTTAACCCAGACATTCCTTTCCATTGATTCCAGGTCTTTAGATAATATTTGAACTCTTTCAATCTATTGTCAATTAGAAACTGTTGGAATCCACCTATGACGTGGAAGCCTCCCTGCACTGTCGGCTCCCAGTTTGAGTTATTCCACCCTTTCGGACTGAACCAATAGACACCTTACATATATTGATGTCTGCCTGTAACTTCTGCCCCTCTAAAATGTGTAAAATCAAGTTGTAACCCAACCACCTTGGGCACATGTTCTCAGGACCTTTTGAGGCTGCGCCTCAGGCCTTGGTCACTTATATTTGGCTCATAATAGATCCCTTCAAATATTTTCCAGGATTTGACTCTTTTTCATTAACAGTATAATTCAGAAGAGTTTCAATTCTAGTAAATAATTGGGTATGATGTGGAATACTTGGTTGATACCATTACTATACAACAAACACCCATGTCACGCAATTTACTAATGAAAGAAACCTGCACATGTACCCCTTGAGCCTAAAATACAAGTTGAGAAGAAAAAATATTATAGTAAATATGAGAAATGTATAATACTGAGAAAAGAAAAATAGAGCAGTTGACCTATGTGAAGTATGCAAAACTTATCAGGCCCAGAGAAAAATGAGTGTGAGAATTCACCATTACCTGACCCCCTCTATTTAGGAGAGAAACTGTTTAAAGGCATTTTGTTCCTGACTACTGTATGATTCATTATCTTCATGTTCCCGGACTTTATGATACCAAACAACAATGTATAGTCAATCATTAGTGTATGCTATTTTAATATAAATTATTGGAGAACAACTTAAGAACTACCTCTTCTTTTCCTTTAAACTCACTTGTTACTGCTACTCATTGGAGCGTAATTCAGGTATGCTTTTGAGTTACAGTCCTCAAACTTAGCTCAAATAAATTCTTTACTTATGATGTTTGCTTCCATTTTTTTCCCCTTTAGGTCAATAAAATCCAGTGAGGATTCTCTCCCTGAGGAAAAGAAGAGATCATATTTTGTTTGGTGGGGTTATCACTCTCATATTATTTTTCTACGTTAGTCCTTCCTATTACATTGCAATAAGAGCTACAGTTTATTGGCTATATTCTGTGGGTCAGGCTGGCACATAGAGAAGCTAATATTTAAGAAGCATTAGACTTAGAAAGAGTTGGCTCACTCTTGCCCAGTATTAGAAACCCCTGAATGCAAGGGTCCAGAATCCACCCATCTATTTGAGTATAAGGCCCTACATACTTTCCCCTCTTATTTCAACATACTCTTTTCTTTGGCTTGAGCAAACATTTTGTATTCCTGTCACTTCACTATAATCCTTTCTCCTTTTTTTTTTTTTTTTTTTTTCTTTTGAGATGGAGTCTTACTCTGTCACCAGGCTGAAGAAAACTGACGCAATCTCAGCTCACTGCAACCTCTGACTCCTGGATTCAAGCCATCCTCCTGCCTCAGCCTCCCATGTAGCTGGGATTATGGATGTCTGTCACCACGCCCAGCTAATTTTTTGTATTTTTAGTAGAGAAGAGGTTTCACCATGTTGACCAGGATGGTCTCCATCTCCTGACCTCGTGATTCACCTGCCTTGGCCTCCCAAAGTGCTGGGATTACAGGCGTGAGCCACCGTGCCCGGCTTCTTTCTCCCACTTAAGAAAGGCATACCCTCACTTATCCACAGCCTTATGGTGTATTATCTCAAGGAGTAAAAATCTCCTGGTTGCCCAGTTCAGATATGGTGAAATATATATTTGGCCTTTGTTTTGTTTCCTGGCATACAACTCCTAATACCTTCGGAATTGTTGGGGCTCAGAAACTGATACCCCCAAATATGGCACTTTGATATGCTGAATTAAAGCAGCGGCCTCAAGGTCTCTCTAGCCTTCCCTCTCTCCACTCTTCAACCTTGTCTCTCACAAAGCACAGATTAAGGCTGTTCTCTAAAGTTTCCTTAACTACCTAGAAACTAACCCCCAAAAGAGGAATATGATTGCCTTCCTTCCCCTCCTTACTTATCCTCTCACTATTTATCACAGAAAAGAAGGCTAAGAAATGCAATCACTTCTGATAGCCTTTTTTTTTTTTTTTAAACAAGAAAATGTCTGCCTCTCAAGATCATTCAAATTTCAAAGAGAATCACTTACAAGTTAATTTTTGTCTCCTGGGTCCATCCATTTCCCCTGACAGTAATTTACTCCTATACCCCTCCACTTCCCTCTCCCCAGTGAAGAGGGTATTCATTTATCTGGCTCTTAATTCTTGAGTTTTCATGTTTTACCTAACTCCTGTGTACAAGTGCATACATAATAAATTTGTCATGTCTTACTTTTGTTGGCCATGATGAACCTTTGTGATGGCGGGAAAAGGGATTGACCACTTTCTGCCCCTATAGTTCTGGTGACAAAAATGTGATAGCTGATGCTGACCCTGACGGCCCACCAAGGGCACACAGAGCAGCTGCATTGGTGCTGTCACTTTTTTAAGGCTTTCTGTCCAGACTTCAACACTGGTTTCTTTTCAGTTTCAAAGGATTGATGTCTTCCTCAATGCCCTCGCCGGCGGGCTGAGGGTGACGGCCACATCCATTTCTTCTGTATTAGAAGGCCGTGGTGATTCAATTAGATTGTCCCACTGCTGAGTCCGGTAGGGCAGCTTCTATCGTGCTTTTTTCAAGGGGAAAGGAGCAGTGACAAGTCGTGTGTGGGAAATGGATTTGAGAACGCTCTGAGTGACCCCTGGAGGCCGAGGGGGCAGGCTTCGGTTGTGAACTGAACTCCAGACCCCTCTTTGTGCTGGGTGGTGGCATCTTGCTTACAAACTGTAAGACACGGTTTCTTTTGTGTTTGTTTTCGGTTTTCTTCTTTTGTAGCACTCACGCCTCTGACAGTCTTTTGGGAAAGAGTAACAACCCACATAAAGAATGTATCACATCCAGTGTAGTGCTGTTCTCTAATACTGGCATAACGCTTCCAGGAAGTTTTTCTTTTTTATATTTAAAATGTTACTTTTCTGTATGATGTGCATGCAAGTTTACCGTAACTTTTCTTAAACTTTTTAGTGCCGTTTCTAGTATATTCCTGTAAATGTCAGTTACTGAAAATGAGTCCAGTGTAAGTAGTTTTAGCTTGTTTATTGCAATGCTGGCCTCAACACAACAGAATAAAAGTGGTAGAAAGTTAAAAAAAAAAAAAAAAAAAAAAAAAAAAAGGTGATAGCTGAGACACCTGACTCACTCTGGAGCCTGCAAATGAGGTCCTGGGATGACTAACAACAAGTCAGCGGGAAAAAAAAAGGGTAAGAATTTTTACCAAGGTCAGTTCTAGGAGACCTTTAGCTGTAATGCCTGGTTGAGAATGGAAGATAAAAAGTTCCCCTTATCCCTTCCTTTCCAAATTTGGTTTGGCAGGAGAAACTCATTTGTGTGGATGGTGATTCTTGTATAAATCTGATTCTGGGGCAACTATTTGTTATTGGTTCTTTTCCCTCCCATGGATAGCTATTTTCCTGTTTGTCTCATTTTGTGACCTAAGAACTTTGCTTGGCTTGCCACCTATCAGGAGCACAGGTTGTTGGGCATGTTGTGCAAGCAGCTAACTGAAAAGCTGGAGACCCCCATAAAAAGCTAACACACCAACTGCTGCCAGATCTGAAGGTGTTATCTAAATCTTTATTTCTTCCAGCTGTTGTTGGGGGAGGCTCTGGATCCTGAGAGCACGGCATCTTTGTATCGCTTTAGAAAGGCCTCATGTGTACTTAGTTAAGCCACAAAAGGCTTTGGTTTTGGTTCTAAGTCACTTGGTAGGTACCTTTATTTTAAAATAAAAAAAAGATTTTAAAGCCAGGAATATTTTCTGTTTGTCCTAGCTGAAATCTGACAACAAAAGATTTGAGAAACAATAACAACAACAATTTTTAAAGAGCTCTATGGTCAGAAGTCAGCTTAATTAAGAGCTGATATTCAGATTATATATATATAAATAACACAGACACAAACACACACACATACATACATTTTAAAGGCTTCTCTGTTCTGTATCTTATTTCTTTCATAGGATTTTCTTTTTTCACTTCACTGAAACTGTCTTTCAATTGTATGTTTGATCTCTGTTTGCTTCTTTTCTTATTGGTATAATTTTTGTTTAGAAAAATGTAAAAGTTCACTGGCCTTTTCTCGGAAGCTTAAGATCTCCACATTCTGGCTCTTCTAAGACGTCTTCCATTTATTTCTGTCCCTACTTCCTTTTGTCACTTTTGATTTTCCAACTACTTCTCTTTAATCATAGATATCTTCTCCTTGAAGCCCATACCACCTCAATTCGACAGTTAGTGGATACAAAATTACTAAGAAGAAACATCAGAATTCTGCCTAGCACATAAAGTGACCTAGAAGAGACTTCTAGCAACCTTGGAACTCCTTGAGGAACATAAAAAGATGCCAGACCCTCTTTGGAGTCTTCTGTCTTCTTTATGGAGCCCCAAGAGTAGTAGGTGGGTCCAAAGTTCTGTTCTTTTACACTGAACTCCCTGATATCGTGGGCTTTTGTGGGTACCAAGGTTTACTTTATACTATAAGAAAACACTTGACCTTGGGTTTGTGGTAACTAAAGAGTCACTGGCAAGGGCTACAGTTTTTTCTTTTAGAGACAGGATCTCACTCTGTTGCCCAGGCTAAAGTACAGTGGCATAATCATAGCTCACCGTAACATTAAACTCCTGGGCTCAGGCAGTCCTCCCATTTCAGCCTCCTAAGTAGCTAAGATTACAAGCACACTACCACATCTGGCTAATTTTTAAATTTTTTTGTGGAGACAGGGTCTTCCTATGTCCTCCAGGGTAGTCTTGAACTTCGGACATCTAGCAATCCTCTCCCCTCAGCTGGGATTACAGATGTGAGCCACCATGCCTAGCCAAGAGTTACATCTAGCATTAAAGGTAATTGATAGCAGTTGTAATGAATGATTATTGCTGCAGGGGGCTACCCATTTCTTTGCCTGTTCAGATAAGAAAAACCTTAGACTTCTGATTAAGTCAAATAGAAACTGACAATAAATGGCAATTTGGTACAATTAAAGTCATTGGTTAGGTTGGTTGTGGGGGATCTCAGAGCTGGGGCCATGACCTGATGCTAGGTTTGGTTTGGGGACCTGGAAGTTGTGGGAACACTCCTCACCAAGAAATAGAACTTCTGGGGATGGGCTGGCTACAGAGTGGACTAGTAGGTTGGTTGGACATTGGGTCACCTACTAGCCTTGTGGGGCTATCCTTGCAGCAAAGTGCACTGTGTGACTGTTGTGCAGCCCAGCTCCATGGTGTTTCCCTTTTGGGCTTTTTGATTTTTTAACTTAAAAATATATACATCTTTTTGTTAAAAACTAAGATGTTCACACATTGGTCTAGGCCTACACAGGGTTAAGATCATCAATATCACTGTCTTCCACATTCATATCTTGTTCCACTGGAAGGTTTTCAGGGGCAATAACACAATTGAAGCTATCTTCTCCTATGATAGCTTTCTAACAATGCCTTCTTCTAGAATAACTCCTAAAGGACCTGTTTGAAGCTGTCTTACAGCTAACTTTTTTTTTTTACTGCATTTTTCCTGAGACTAAAGCTAGTCAAGTTGGCTCTGAAGAAAAAAACACCACCATAGCTTACATTTGGAAAAACTTTCTACATGCAAATTACAAACCAGAAAAATCTGTCAGATTCACTCACTATGGAGGAAATGGTATCTCATAGCCTAATACACAGTAAATGATTAACTAGAAATGCCTCGTTTTTCCGACACATTAAATTTTTTTTTTTTTTGAGACATGCTCTATGTTGCCCAGGCTGGAGTGCAATGAAATGATCTTGGCTCACTGCAACCTTCATCTCCCAGGCTCAAACCATCCTCCCACCTCAGCCTCCCAAGTAGTTGGGACTACAGGTGCATACCACAACGCCCTGCTAACTTCTGTATTTTTAGTAGAGATGTGGCTTTGCCATGTTTTCGAGGCTTGTCTTGAACTCCTGGGCTCAAGCAATCCTACTACCTCAGCCTCCAAAATGCTGGGATTACAGGCATGAGCCACTAAGCCCAGTCAGGACACATTAAATTAAAAAAAAAAAAAGTTTATTACAAATTCAAAAATATAATAAAAGAATCTCACCCTTTTACATCTCCAGGCCTGCTTTCCAGAGGCAACTATTTTTATAATTTATTTTTAGAATTTCTGGAAATTACTATACCCATCTTTAAATGATATGCTCCTCCTAATGTTATTTCTTTATGTATCAGTAACAGATATCTATTTACTTCCTACAAAGACAGATAAACACTTAGCTTTAGAGAGTTACATATATTTTTGCTTGTTCTGGTTACCTTTGCACACTGAAATGATATGCTTAAACTTCTACATCCTGTTGTGTAATTTCTTGACTTTCACTTTGTAAGATTTTGGTATTATAGACATAGACTCAATCCATCTTGTTTCTTCTCTTATTACACTCTTCCTTCCATAACTCTGCTGGGTAAAACCTAGGCCTTACAGAATATAATTCTAGCTCTTCTTTAGCACTTTACAGGGCCCCTTATGATCTAGCCTCTGCCTACTTTTTTTATGTCCTGCCATATGTTCACAGTCATGCTGAAATAGGTATTTAGTTTTTGGAATCTTTCATGAACTCTTGTCCTTTTTTGTCATTGTTTCATAGCTTTCCATGGCCTGGAATGGCCTCCTCTTGCAATTCACTAGCAAATCCCAATATTTTCTTCAGCCTACATGCTACATTAAGAAATCTTCCCTAGTAGACATCCCTTATTACATCAATAAGTATTTATTGAGTACTTGTTTTGTGCAAGGCACAGTTTTAAATGTGGGGACTATAGAGGACCAAGACAGCTTGCATTCTAGTGACTTAATAAACAGATTTAATAAATATTACTACCATTATGAAACCTACTATGTGCCAGGATAATACTAAATAACTTATAAATGCTATTTTTAATCCTTACAACAATTTTATGAGCCCTAGCAGTGGCTGGGCTTATACTCAATCTCAAGTCTGTCTGACTTCACAGCCACTACTGTTAAGCTATGCTCACTCTGCTCCATTACTCCTTATTCATTTCTATTACAGCTTTTGTCATGTTTTGAAATTCTTTGCATATGGATTTCCCCATATGAACCACAGGGGATAAAAAAAATTGACTGTTTTTTCAGGATGGTGCAGAACTAGTGCTATTCTAGACGCATACGAAAGAGGTTAATACATTACACACAATGGGTGCTGAAAGGCATTAGGGATTAACTGTCTCTTAAAATCCCAGGTGGAGAAGGGCTGCTTTGGATGGAAGGACTTTTAAGGGTAGAGACATCTGCCACTTAGTGGGTGGTTGATAAATTTTTGTTGGACTTGTTATTTAAACCTTTGCAATTAATACATATTCAAAAGTATTATTTTGGGGTTGAAAAGTGAGCTGTGTTAGTCTTGCTTTCGAAGATGGCTTTGCAGTAGGAGTTAAGCACTTTGTTTTTTTTCTTACGAGAACTCCAAGGGTGTTGGGTCCAAACTTTGAGAGGCCAAAGAATGCACAGACTCTGGAGCCAGATCATCCAGATTCAAAATCCAGTCTCCCTGTTTATTAGTTATATAAATTTAAGCAAGTTATTATTTAACATGTGCCAGATACTTTTATAAATACACTATTACCTGCTTTAATCTTCAACACTTCTATTTAGTAGGTACCTTTACAATTTCTTTACTAGCTCCATGTCTCAGTTTCCTCTTCAATTAATTGGGGATAATAACAACAAATTACCTCACAGAGATACTGTTAGGATTAAATGAATATAAAATGCTAAGACTACTACCTTGCATATAGAAAGTTAGCTATTAGTAACAGTCGAAACTGTGGTTAGGGCAGAAAATCAGCTTGATATAACTTACTAAATTTTTCATTTTATGTTAATATTCATTTCAAGGGCACAGATGGAATTCTTTGGAATAGGCACTAAATCTTAAGCACTTCCCAGTCAAGCTGGCTCTGCATCTCTAAGGGAAAACCCAGTGGCTGGTGCTGAAATGAAAAATGTAGAAAAAAATATTTCTGAAATCTGGACACTTTTCTGCAACTCCTCTGCCATCTCCCAAGTCCACATTATCATTATCTTTTGCTGGGATCTCTTGCAACAGTCTCCTGACTGGTTCAGTAGCCTCCTCCTTGACTGCCTTTAATTTCTCCAAGAGATTAACCGTTTCAAAAGATAGATGGACATTGGATATACCATGCCCATGCTTAAAATCGGTTACCCAGTAAACATTTCATAATACTCAAGTCAGTAACCTGGCTAAGACTTACAGGGTCTGGCCTTGGCCCATGCCTCCAAAAGCACTCTCTACTCCTCCCCATGGTCTCTATCCAGCCACATCAGCCTTTATTCATTGTTCAACAAATATTGATTTGCTTGTGTTGTGTTTATAGTCACTGAGTATACATTAGTGGCTAAGCAAAATACAGTTCCTATACTCACAGAACTTACATTTTAGGGGTTAGGAGAACAACAACAATTGCTAGTTGTAAAAAGTATAAAAATGAAATTGAACCTGCAAATAAAAAAAGAGGGCTCACTTGCCATACAGTAGTCAGGAAAGTCTTCTTTAAGAAGGTACTATTTTAGATGTAATCTAAAGGATGAAGGGAAGTGCCATGTGTTGAATGGGGAAGAGAGAATTCAGGTAGAGGGAACAAATTGTGCAAAGGTTCATACATGCAGGAAAGAAGTTGGTGTTTGAGGTATCCAGAGTAGATCAACTTACTGCACAGTGAGTGGGAGTGATCTCGGCCAACACCTGATTGTGCAGGGCCTGGGAGGTCATGAAGATCAGAACTTTATTCCTTTTTTCCCCTTCCTCTTTTTATTTTAGAAAATCTCCAAGTTATTTTAAAAAGTTGTAAGAGTGTATGATATATACCATTATACCCTTCACCTAGATTCACCAGTTACTAATATTTTGCCATATTTGCTTTCTGTATTTTATTTTTTGCCATATCTTTTGAAGGTAAGCTGCAAACACTATGACTTTGCTGCTAATTACTTCAGCAAGCTCCTTTCAAAAACAAAGGCATTCTTCCACTTGATCACAGATTCATTCTCATGTACAATCAATTTAAAACTGATTCAGTATCAACTAATATGTAGTTCATATTTGAATTTCCCCAAATGTCTACAAATATCTTTCCCCAGTTACTTTAAAAAAAAAAAATTCTGATGGGGCGTGGTGGCTCACACCTGTAATCCCAGCACTTTGGGAGGCCAAGGCGGGTGGATCACCTGAGGTCAGCAGTTCAAAACCAGCCTGGCCAACGTGGTAAAACCCCATCTCTACTGAGAGTATAAAAAAAAATTAGTTGAGCGTGGTGGCAGCTGCTTGTAATCCCAGCTACTTGGGAGGCCGAGGCAGGAGAATGGCATGAACCTGGGAGGCAGAGGTTGCAGTGAGCAGAGAGATCGCACCATTGCACTCCAGCTGAGCGACAAGAGCAAAACTCAGTCTCAAAAAAAAAAAAAAAAAAAGGAAAGAAAAGTAAACATCTATGAACCAACCAAGATTCACAAATTTCATTTGGTTTTTTTTTTGACTCTTGACAAAAGCAACCCTCCACTTCGGTTTTTTCTTTTTACCGTCATGACACTGACACTTCTGAAGAGCCTAGGCCTGTTGTTTTGTAGAATATTCTACACTGCTTTTTTTCCTGATTGTTTCTTCATGATTAAAATCATGTCAAAAATTTCTAGCACAAATAGTATTAGGTAATATTAGTGATGTTAAGTATCTTCACTTGGTTAAGGGATGTCTGATAAATCTCTTCAGTGTAAAATTATATTTTCCCTTTTATAATAAGAAGTGACCGGTAGGGTGATTCTTTAACATACTAACATTCTCTGCTCCGAACCTTTCAGTTAATGTTTGTTTTAGCATCTTGCATTCATTAGTTTTTAGCGTTCATAAGCTTACCTACATCAATTTTTAGACCGGCAGCTGCAAAATGGGGACGCAGCGAGGGAAGCGACCCTCCGGATCCCGGGATGGGGGGCCTTTTTAGGCCCCGTAGGGACAGGACTGGGAAGTGGCTAGCCGGCCACCTCAGCCCGTCCGTAGGGGAGTCGCAGGACTAAGTGCAGTGGCAGCGGCCTCACCTCCGGCCTTTGCCATATCTTCATTGCCTTGAGACAAAATCAGAGACCGGCGTCCCAGTCAACAGTGTGGTACTGAATAACAGCCACGAGAAAGCGACCATTGGCTGCCCGAGTTTCAAGACCCGCCCCCATATTCGAAAGCTTCTTCCCGGAGCCACTGGAAAGCCCGCAGCGCGAGCGGGCTGGGCTCTCGGGTGGCGCTCTGAAGCCCCACCCACTCCCAGCGTTCAGTGCGGTGCCCTGGCCGCCATTGTTTGAATTTGAAAACGGTAGCTACTCAGCGCTGCTCGCGGGTCGGGCTAGCCAGGCGACCTTTGCAGGTGAGGGGGTGAACCGGCGGGGGAGAAGCGAGGGGTGGAGAGGAGGTGGGTGACTGCGCATTTATGGGGCCTAAGACGGGGAAACGGCTTTAGCAGTGTGGACATCTTCCGACAGTAACCTCGTACCCCCGTGGATGTTACTCTCAGGAACTGGGTTGCGGACCGATACGAACACCGGGTACGCAGCGAGGACTGAGTCATACTAATTCGGTTAGGATTTAAATCTCGCCTCCACTGCTTATTAGCTGAGTGACCCAAGACAATTCATTTAATGTCTCTCTGTACCTTAGTTTTCTTAATCAGTTAAAAGGCGGAAATAAAGTATCTACTTCTTTCGGCTTTCGTGAAGATTAAATGGTAATATGTAAAGTTGTTAGTGCTGGCACACAATAGTACTAAATGTTTGCAGTCATTAATATTGTTGTTGAGAAACAGGCCTCTTTTGCCACACCTAGTTTTCGAAGCTCTGAGGTGGGCAGTTCGTTCGGCTGGTAGGTAACACGGCCTTTTTTGCGGGGGGAGCCCTGTGGTGGCCTCTGTGCACTTATTTCCGGACTCCTGGTGCTTGGGGCTTGCCCTTCTAGGGTTTTGCAGTGCCAGGCTGAAGAGTTTGTGGCACAGTGACTGCTGTGATCCCCAATTTAGAAGGTTTTCTCCATTTCTATTCACTCCCTGGTTCAGTGATGCCTGTCTGGCACAGTTCTCTAATATTCCTTGCTAAAGTACTAGTTGACACAAGTTCATGCCTTATGGGTTAGGTAGTGTAACAGTGTATGTATTTTATTGCAGGTCCACGACTCCAGATTTTAAATTGCAAAATAGCATAAAATATTCATCACTTAGTCGTGAAGACTATTTTTGAGGCTGTGTGTTGTGGATCACATTCAGAAACCTCATTCAATAGCAGATGCTACTATTTTTCACCAAAGTCTCCAACTGTGGATTCTTACTGGAGAGAAGATACATAAAGATGCAGTTTTCCAGTCAGAGCAGAAATGAAATGAAAAATGAGGTTTTGAAGTCTGCTGTCACAAAAGATAATATTACAGACTAGGATTTTTTTTTTTTTTTGGTAGAAAGTATTTTCTTTATAACCATTATTTCAAGTCATAGTCAGGGAGTCTTTATTCTTACATAAGTCGTTGAATTTGTTGTAGGGGATACAGATGGTGTAAGACAAGGTTCTTGGCATCAACAAGTTACCAGTTTAGTTGGGAAGCCCATGTATAAGTAGAAGTCATTTAAAATTGCAAGAAGTTACCGTATATCTCAACAGTTTTAGAAATGCTAGGAAGTAGTTTGTTCATTGAAAAATGAACATATGAACAAATACTCCTTTATTATAACTGCTTTTAATACACAGGAATGTTCTTTTTAATTCAGCAATTTAAAATATTCATCAACAATTTTCTTTAAACCAAGAATTATTATTTGAAGCCACAGTTGTTTCTTAATTTTCTGGGAATTTCCATGAACTTTGTGTTATGAAATGTCAAGCTGGTACTTTAACATTTTGCAAACACCCCCCGCCCCATGATCTAAATCAGTGCTTTCCTTAGTCCTTTTGCAATTGAGGGGAAAAAAATCCAACCATGTTTTTGTGATGAGTTTGAATTTCCGCCTGATCAAGGAAAAAGATGGCAGCAAGGTGGCAGGAGTAAACAAGGAACTTTATGTGGGCAGGGCTTTGACAGGATTATAGGCAAAGGAAATCCCTCTCAGTATGGGACCTTTTCTAGACCAGGGTGAGGGGCCACCATCCAGAGGGGAAAGAGGGAAAGGAGGATGGGGCAAGGTACGGAAAAGAATCATAGAGGGGCTTAGATGTCTAAGTGATACTGCACAGTGGTGAGTCTCTGGATCATAGAACTCTCAAGGGCAGCAGTGGCCTTGATAGTCCCAGGTTTTGTATGTCTGGCAAATGTTGGGTGCAATTTCATGGGGCATTCAAACCTAGCAGGCTCTAAATGGCTAAAAATATGCTTATTTTGGGCTATATTGAAAGCAGATGAATGCTTCAGAATTAGAGTTTGGCAACCCAGCAGGCTTTTAAATTTTTAAACATTTGTGGTCCTTGATCCAGTGGGCTTTTGAGCTAAGGTCCCTACCAGCTGTGAAGAAATATACAATATAGGTCCATTATACAAGGGCTATCTTTGGTCCATTTTATATAATACCTGTGGGTGGTGATTATTACGACTTTCTTGAACTACGAACCTTAGTTTGGTAGTCACCGATCTGGATGTTTTATAATCTTGTCAAAAAACAGCAAGAGTCTTCCCCTTCTCCCTAGAACTGTTCACCTAGTAGATTCTCAGTAAATACTAGAATGTTAGTATTTTTCAGTTAAGATTATCTTTAAGTTTACCTTTGAGTTTAGTGATTTGATGTTTAATTCAATTGTAGTAGTTTGCTGATGCATTATTCCTATTTAACTTAAAACCTGTGATGTGTCAGGTATTGTTTTGAATGTGTTTATATATATTGTTTAACTTTTTACTTGAAATTGAAAGTAATTTTTCAGATAACTGAGTTTAACTTTTAAATGCTAAAAGAGTCTGTAAGTAACATTCTACAGGAGTCAGTAAATAACATAAGGTTATAATTTACTCTGTGATCTCCTTTGAGTTTTGAGAGGATTTCAGGGAAAGAGTAAACATTTTATACCATCTTTACAGATTACCTGTACTCATGAAACCTCTTTGAATGGATATCCTATGAAAATAGTAGGCTGTGTTTAGAATTATTAGATACAGAGTCTGTAAATATAATTTGATCTTTTGTCTTTCCTGTAGGCCATTGTGTTACAAATGAAGCAATGTAATGGTTTTCTTTTCTAAAATCTAGTTATTTGGAGGGAAGTATTGGGCTAGACTTTTAAAAGTGTGGGTGGCTTACATGCTGACTTATTAAGGTTGTTAAAGAAGTTGCTGTTATTCTTGCAGAATGGAATCTAATTTTAATCAAGAGGGAGTATCTCGACCATCTTATGTTTTTAGTGCTGATCCAATTGCAAGGCCTTCAGAAATAAATTTTGATGGCATTAAGCTTGATCTGTCTCATGAATTTTCCTTAGTTGCTCCAAATGCTGAGGTAAGTACGAGGAAAGTATTGTGTTTATTATCATGACTGAGTGGAAATATTTGTGTATGCATATGACTGGAACAGAGTTTCTCAGACTTTCTGGGTTTAAGGCAACCTTGTATCTCAGTACTTTTTCATGGAGTCCTACACCAAAATGAATATATAACAGTTCCTTTTCAAGTAGTAGATCTAAACAACAAGTATCTATGCCATAACCTAGTAGCCATATGACACAAGCTTAAGAAATTTTTTTTTTTTTCGTTTTTGGAGACAAGATGTTGCTTTGTCACCCAGGCTGGAATGCGGTGTTGTACTCATGGCCCACTGCAGCCTCAATCTCCCAGGCTCAAGCAATCCTCCTTCCTCAGGCTCCTGAGTAGCTGGGACTATAGGTGTGCTCTATAATGCCTGGCTAATTTTTGAAAATTTTTTGTAGAGGCAAGCTCTCACTGTGTTGCCTAGGTTTGTCTCCACCTCCTGGGCTTAAGTGATCCTCTTGTCTCAGCCTCCCAAAGTGCTGATTACAGGCGTGATCCACTGCATCTGGCCAAAAAAATTTAACATTTCATTCTCTGATAACTATAGTTCCTTACTAATGGAATATGTATGCCTTTTGCACACTGGACAATTTCTCAAACCTTAAAATCAGATTAGATACTACCACCCACATTTCTTGTTCTTTGTTGTTTTCATGTAATACTTCCTCTTTATCATAGCAACCACTGAGAGATCCAGTTTAGCAGAGAGCCGACACCATCAAAAGAGATGGTGTGATCTCATGTTGAAACTGAACTCCAGCTAATAGTTCATGGTGTTCCTTGTAGGTCAAGTATTGCTGTGATTTTGCCAAAGATGTGAAACATTCCACTATGCTTCTAGGAACTGTGGACCTTCATTTTGAAAATTATGAAGATTTTTTTAAAACTAGAAAAACTTAGTAGTGTTTAGACTAAGAAGAAGAACCCTTCTACCACCCTACTTACTACGGGTGTAATGTTTGCTTATGTGTCTTTGTAGACTTTATACGTTTACTTTTCAATCCATTCATAATTTGTTTGTTACATTTTATGCTAATTTTTGGTGCCTTAGAGATAACTAACCCATTTATAAAGAATGATGGAAGAGGAAGGGGGATTTAGGATTATAATAAAATAACAGTTCTTATTTAATACCTGTTGTGTCAAGCCCTTTTAAACTTTAACTTACTATATCATAAATAAATAAAGTAAGAAAGAGGGAAGAAAGAAAGGAGGGAATTCTGATAAGTGTCTCTTGGCATGTAAACAGAATTGTATGTCATGTAGCTGTTTGTGTCTGCCTCCTTCTAATGCAGGGGTTGGCAAACAATGGCCTGTTTTTGTATTGCCTGTTTTTATACTTATATACAAGTTAAGAAGGGTTTTTATATTTTTAAATAGTAAAAGAAAAATCAAAATAGGAATAATGTTCCATAACATAAAAGTTATATGAATTTCAAACGTCACTGTCCATAAAGTTTTATTGCATCACAACCAGACTTGTTGGTTTACTTATTTACTACATCTGTTGTGGCACTGTAACAGCAGAGTTGAGTAGTTATGACAGAGACTATAGGGTCTCTAGAGCCTAAAATATTAGCTATCTGGCTCTTTACAGAGAAAATTTACTGACTCCTGAGTTGGCATGATGTTTTTGAGATTTAT